TAAAACATTCACTAGCCATTTGGCCGGTGGACAGAAACGGTAATTGTGCACCCCGAGACAGTAATTAAAACAATCACAAATATTATTATGTTTCTAAGCAGAGGATCCAAATTATCTCTCTGTCATAACATCCTGTCAACAGGATGGTTATATATAACTTTTGTGTTCACTAATTATTATTAAGGGGGGGGGGGTAGTTTTACCAACATAGATTGTATTACAGGGACAATTCAACAGGTAAACAACATTTATTGTATTGCATATGATGACTTACCTTACTGGAATCTTTTTCCAGTCCTAGGATTACTAAAATCATTGGTTCTCCACCTGGTCTTAAAAATACGCCATTAAAAATGTTTAATTATTATCAATATCAACTAAAATGACATTTTAATGTTAATGTTTACAATGATATACAGAAAAACTCTCATAGTTTTTAGGTCCAGTGTGTAACAGTGTGTGACATTTAGGAGGATCTATTGGCAGAAATTAAATATAATATTCATAGGTATGTTTTCATTAGTCTTAAATCATCTCAGTTGTCAATCAATTGTGATATTTTTCCTTAGAATGGGTCGTTTATATGCACAGACGCTACACTTCACTTCTCATTCCCAGGTCATCAGATAAAGACGTCAGCTGTGTTCAGTTAGTTGCAAACGGAAACCTCACAGCTAGACGCCACTAAATCCAGCACACTGATCCTTTCAATATGTTCGTGTCCAGCTGGGGACCTTTGTTGCATGTCATTACCCCATCTGTTTCATTATGTGATGAATGTAGAGTAGAGCTGCAACTAAATGATTATTTTCATTATTGATTTTTCCGGATTTTTCCCAAATGAACTGATTAATTGTTTTGTCTATAAAATGTAAGAAAATTTTCTTTCTTATTTATCTGATCAACAGTACAAAACCTCAGAGAGCTTCAGTTTACAATTATAATTATTAACAGAGAGAAACAGCAAATCCTAACAATGGAGGAGAGTTTGGTGTTTATGCTCTAAAAATGACAATTAATAAGTTAATCAGGCATCTTGAGTGATGAAAGCCTGCAGTAGGAATGTTTCAACACTTTCTGATGTTTTATAAACTAAAATAATATAATGTTTCCAGGTGGGACCCAAACCTGTGCTGACGATACCAGATGACCAAAGAGTCATCGGATCGTTTGACCTCAATCACTTCTCAGTTCGCATCATGTCTGTGGACTACCAGGCGTCCGGCCCGGCCCACGTCCCTCCTGTGTGCCCCGGCCCCCGCCTCAACTTCAGCGAGGACTCCAGAGTGATTCTGGGAGATTCAGGGGAGGATGCGTTTGCATATGTTCACCACATGACCCTGTATGACCTGGAAGCCAGGGGTATGGTGCGTCCTTTCTGCATGGCGTACGTGTGCTCGGACCAGGCGAAGCTGATGGAGAACTACTCTGAACTGTCGACGTGCTTCTCTCAGGCCTCCGACAGCCTCAAGACGGGAAACAGACAAGCGTTTTCTATGGAGCTGCAGAGAAAATTACAAGAGCTCGAGTAAGATCAGGATGTGCTTTGTTGAAATAAGAATATTTATGTACCTATGTATTAGAGCCTGACTGATACATCAGCACCAACCACTGCCTGGTTCCTCCAGGAAGCCGCAATGTTGTCACAATGAATGCAAATTCAACCAATTGCAGTGAATTCTTTGCGACTTGAATTGCAGAACATTTCTTCAAATTTGACTAATCATTGTAGTTTCCTATGCAAAAGGTCACCAGATTTACTTCCTTGTTTCTAGTTGTGAAGATGCAGCCTTAAAAGTCATTTTTAGGCTGCAGCAATCCCAAAGTCAGAGGGAATGGCTGACTACTTGGATGATATTAACATAGTACAGATATATATTCAAATAGAAGAACATCAGCCAATTAAGTAACAAGAAACTGCAGAACAGGAATGCAAACACAATGTTTGGGACTAATAGAAATGCTTATGCTACGATTATGTTTCAAAAACTAATATTAGCCCATATCATTACCGTCATTTTTTTTCTCAAACTCTGATATTGGCATTAAAAATTCCTTATTGGTTGGGCTCTGCGACGTATTAACACACCAGTGGTCCACTCACACTGCTGCCTGCCTTCAAAATGGGTCCTGTTTACTGTGTTCACGATAAGAGCCCACCTCTTTCTCAAGCCCAGCCTGTGAGAAGCATGACGATGATCATTTTATTATGATTAATCTCTTTATTACTTTTAAGATTAATGAATGTTTGGGCTATATAAAATAATAATGAAAATTGCCAATCACAGTTTGCCTGAGCTTAAGGAGACATCTTCAAATTTCACATAAAATTCACATAAAACAGAGAAAAGCAGGCAATGTTTACATTTTAGAAGCTTTAACCAGAGAATATTTGGAAATTTTACTCGATAAATAACTTTAAAATGTAAATTAAAGGACCAGTGTGTAGGATTTAGTGGCATCTAGCAGTGTAGTTGCAGATATTATAGTCCATTTCTACCTAAATGTTACACATTCAGCCTTTTAACATCAAAATAGTTGATTCATTTTCAGGTAGTCCAATAATTTAATAACTGACTAATCTTTTCAGTACTGATGTCACTAAAATAAAGGCCCTGATAAACTCCCAAACAGATGCAGACGTGCACACAGTTCTGTTTTTACTACACTGGCAGTCTGTGTATATGGACGTGACCCCACATCTGGCCCACGCAGTCTTAGATTTTGGATGTCTGCGTGGACCTTGTATATACCGGGTTACAAAAGTCGGACAATATTGCCTGACCTACTGTGGTTTCATGTCTCACCTTGCTGTAGTGACATACAAGTGTACTCCAGGAGCCAGTGACAACCCTGTTTGTTGTGGTTGCAAGTTCAACAGAGCACACTTCTGACCGCAGCCGTCAGTGATGCTGGATGTGGTCAGAGGTGAAACACTGCTTTTCAACCTGCTGAAGTTACTCTCTACCTGCTGACTAAATATAACCCTCTCTGACTGTTCCAGGTACACACGGTTGACTCTGCTCCAGGAGACAGAACATTCGAAGACGGCAAACGGGTTCACAGAGGTGGGAGAAAAAGCTGATGAGCTTGAAGCTGTGGAGCGTTCAATCTTAAATCACAGAGATCTTCTCCGCCAGGTCACCTCGTACCCAAACAGGAAGCTGAAACAGCCCGACTTCCTGCCGTACGACCCAGCTGACTCCCTCACTGATCCGAGTGTGTTACCGCCTCCTGAGCCCTGTCCCTCTCTCTCCACCTCCACCTCCTGCAGGTCTGAGCACCGTCTGAAAACTCTGCAGGAGCTTTGCAACACCTACTTCCTGTCACTGATGAAGGAGCAGCTCGCTGACACGGAGCGGCGCCTACGAGGCGACAGGAGCGTACTGCGCACTACTCGCGTCACGCGTTCATTGTCCAAGAGGCTTACGCTCATTAACTTCCTGTTTGAGCTGTGGAGCCCAGAGGATGGAGACGAGGAGGAGAAAGAGAGCACAGAGGCAGAGCTACAGAGGGCGACAGGGAGTAAGAGCGGTGGCGAGATGTTTCAGTCAGAACCAATGAGCCTGGAGTCATTTTTCTCCTGTGTGGAGGAGATCCCGATCAAAATGGAGGCAGGAGAAGGTGGAACAGTGACCCCTGACCCCAATGTTGCCACAGAGATGACAGGAAGTGTAAGCAGTGGCGACAGCATTGAAGTGCTCGGGACGGAGAAGTCTTATCGGTCGCAGCATGACGTCGCTGGATCTGACAGCAGAGGTATGAAACTATAGGATGATGATTTGAGTTGAATATCTTTGGGTTTGGGGGCTGGTGGCGGCCAAAAAATGATCCCTTTGTTCACACATTTCACAGACTAACAATTTAAAAAAAAATCTACATTGAAAATAAAATAAATAACTAATAGTGCAAAATGAACCACCAGAGCTTGTAATGTCAGTGTTTGTTAGCTGAATCCAGTAGAGTTCCGACATGATTAGTTAGTTAATAGATTGATAGAAAAGCGGCAAACCACTATTTTCATAACTGATTAATCCTCAATTAGTCAAACAGTTGTGATGCACATTATTCTCTATTTTGTGACATTTAGATTAAATGATTTATTAATTAAAAAAAAAGAATCTCACAGATTAATCACATTAATAACAGTATATGGCTTCTCACAACCGGACCAGCTGACAGATCCTTCTCTTCAACAGAAACACAGGTTGGGATGATGGACACGTCTTACAGACGAGCTGCAGTAGAGGCAGGCTCTAGACGCGTGCGAGCGTACGCCAGGCGAGCCAACAGCGAGGACAGCATCGAGGTACTCAGTACGACCGAGTCCATCTTTCCTGACGACCTCACTGCCATCACGGAGGAAGAAGCAGAGCGCCAATCTCTGAGTAACGGCTTTGAGAATGAGAATGAGATACAGTGTGAATCTGACAATGTCCACAAAGAGGGGAAGACGTTGAACACATTGACTTCAGTGAGTGAGGACGTAAAAGGAGGGCCTGTTCAGGAAGGTGACGGTCGTGCTGACAGAGAAGAATCCATAAAGCAAATGACTGCCGGTGGTGAGGTTATAATCAGAGAGGAGCAGGTCACTGAGTGTTTGAAGAGCAATCAAGTCCATGAAGACAAACCTGAGAAGACGTCCAGACTTCTGAAAGGTAGTACATCTGTTACAATGTGTGAAACTTTTTTTAAACACAATTTAAGACTCCACTCTAATTTGGCAAATTTTGAAGAATGTTTAGTACAAATAGTGAATGAGTAGTTCAACTTGAGTGGCAGCTGATGACAGCAGCCAGTCAGTGAACAACAGTCTGATCCTCTGACTGCTCATGTTTTTCCCCTGTTGGTGTTGCTGCATATAAGAATCTCAGTAAAATGTAATTATTACTGACAGAAATGAGGGACAAAGCTGCAACAATAACCCCCAGGTTGTAACATATCTGTATTTACACATAGTAAAACTGTTGTTCTGTTATTAGTTGAAGAAGCAGTGGAGTCGACGCCTCAGTGGTCTGCGGTCTATCCGACGGTGCAGTCGGTGCCTGACCTTCATGTGAACTTCGCCCCTCCTGTTGCCCTGGCTGAGGTTGAGCGGTGGTCTCCGCCCTGCGCTCCTCTCAGGCTGCTGAGTGTGGACGAGGCGTCTGACTGCGCCAGCTTCACTGGATCCACAGACACGCCCTCTCCCTCTCTAAATATCCACAGCAGCACCCGCTTGGATAAGAGGAGGAGGAGGAGGAAGGCTGGACTCCGAGCCCTCAGGTTCCTCAAACAGAACTCGTTCTCCCAGCATGCTGTGTTTTGTCTCCTGAGCGGCCGGCCGCTGGTTGTCATCGGAGGAGACGAGAGTTTGGTCAGAAAACTGGTGGACGCTCTGAGCCTCTTCCTGCCTGTTCCTGGTCCTGATGGAAATGCTGTCATGGCGTGTTTGACGACGCCGCTTCAACTGGCCGACCTGCTCACCTGGAGGCTGATAGGAATACACAGGTACTACAAGTTGTTTTTGTTTCATTACAAAACTATTTTTATGTTGAGATGCCCTATTATATTTTCTTGATTGCTTCCTTTTATTTAACTGAGCCTTTGTAAACTGGCTGTACAGAGAATAACAGAAATACTTTACACTTAGTATCCAAGCAGTCAATACCAGTGTAGGAGAAATTCTTCCAAAATATTGAGAGTTGCTAGTTCTCTGAAGAATTACGAACCCAGTGTGATGAATCAAGTCCCTTTATTCATGCAGGATGGAGAGAAGACCTCAGCATAGATGTTCTCTCTCTACTTCCAGAATGATCTCCCTTAAATACCATCCAGTACTTCCAAGAACCCCCTGGTGACTTATTAACAGTACCGCTGTAAATCACATGCAAAGGTTTTAGAGCTTCAACCCAAATGTTTCTTTGATCTGACCGTGTGATGTGAACTGATTCTTACCAGACATCATCCTACCATAAAAATCACTAACCCCCTAAACAAACTAAATACATTTACTACCCCATCTAAAACATTTATCTCCCACACCAGTTTGATGTGAAGATTGCGTTGCTTCACCTTCCGTGGAGTGGAGTCCGCCATGTTGAATACTGTAGGCGTTTCACAGCCACTGTAGTTTCTCCTTCACATGGTTGTGAAGTAAGGGAGTTGCAATCTCAACTACATTACACACTAGATTCCACTAATTCGTAAACACTGGTCCTTTAATGTCCTAAACGGTTTTAGAAAATAACATACCAAAACAAGAAAGAAAAAGTAGAGATTTACCAAGGCTGACTGAAAGTCACTTAATGCAACAACTACTACAAACTATGGCATCAAAAGTGTTAAATGAACACCTCTCATATTCAGGGGGAAAATTTCAGCTAACTGCAGGGCTACTGTTTTGTATGTTTACTGCTCTAATAGGTATTTTTATATTGACAAAGGGTGGAATTATTATGTGTAATGTGAAAGCTGTCACTACCTCCACAGTCCCCCTCAGATCTATTTTAGTGTCTTTTAAGGTGGTGGTTCACTCACTGCTCTGATCGTCATCATTTCCACCAGCAGTCAGCTGTTGTCAGTGAAAGCTTTAATATTCTGACAGTATGCGACCTGCTCAGCACCAAACAGCAGACATACTATCATAAGCAATTAGCAGTTAAAGAGCCAGATCTTTCCCTCAGGAGCTGGTGGTGGAGACCAAAACAGAGCGTATTGAACTACAGCAGACACACAAACACAAATGAATCCTTATATTGCCCCATATCTGCTCGTGTAAATAACCAACCATTTATGCATAAAGCAGTAAGTAGTAAGAGCAAATGAAAACTAATTCACTCTGTTCTGTTCTGACACTGACAGATCGCACTCCAGCTCTTCGGCCATCATTATTCACTCTCTGACTCGCTACAGTCGTTACTTGGCCCTGTTGGACCTGGACCAGAGGACGCTGCACTGTCCGCCATACTCCGGCTCGCTCATCAGCAGACTGGCCGACCCTCACACTGGCATCAGCCGAGGCATCACCTACCTGCTGCACCTGGAGAGCTGCCTGACCGCGCTGGCCAACCAGGCTCTGCTGTACACGTTCAATCGTGCTCATCAACGTCCAAAGACCGCTGGAGGGAAGGACGCTGCAGAGAAAGACGAGTCCCTGTCCACTCGAGGATTCTGCAGCAGTGAGAGCGATTTGAAAGTGATGAACTTCCTGTCTGACCTGATCAAACAGCACCACGCAGGACGTGGACCACCGGTTTTAAGATTCTCTTACTGTTCTGCGCACCTGCACAAAAACACGTATGCAACATGAACACTGGATGAACAAAAACAATGCACTAGATGCACTGATTTCTCTAGAATATTGATTGATGCAGAGTTAAGTTCTCTGCCTGTGTGAACTTGTTAAAACACGAAGAATCACACTTATATGTTTTTATCTGCAGTGTTAAATGTTAGTGTGTGTGTGTGTGCATGATTTTTACTCCATGATGCTGTAGGTTGTGTATCTCTGGATTACTGGACACAAATGCACTGGTGACTCACACATGCTGGCAGCCTTTACAGCTGAAGTGCTGGACTTTTTTTTATTTTTTTTTATGTGTGTGTGAGGTTTTTAAAATGACTTATTACTGGATCACATGTGAACTTTTAAGATATTTGAGCCACATATGAACACTGTATCATGTAAGGAGAGGAAAATAAGACCTGACATGGTTTTGTTGCTTGTAGTTTGTGGATCGTGGTGGTCAAGAGCTACATGGACTGGTAATTATTTACTTTTAAAAACACACCTTTAACCTCTCAGGGTTTCTGCCAGCTGTAAACCATTTTAATATGACTGCACTCTTAAAACATTTTCACGTTTTCAATGATTGTAAACTGTTGAGTTCTTTTTAGATTTTTTTACTTTAATTTCACAAATTCATGAAGAAAGTCAAAATCAATTGATGGGAAAAGACAACCACTCCCCCTCAGTCGACTTCCAATATCACAGGCAACAGGCTCGTTTTACTGTACTTTAATGTTTGTTACTCTGTTGATGCAAATATGAGCCGATTTTAGTGTGTGCACATTTTCTCTAAAAATAAAGTCACTTTTTTTACATTGGGATTCTGATTTAATCAAAGCAATAATGCAAAAATCCAGACCAACCCACACTTTATTTTTATAGCGTGGGCAAACCACTTTATAAAATAGTATAGTTTATTCAACATTACATAATTGACTCATATGAGCATTTTATAACAGTGGATATAAAGTATTTCCAGGAAGAACACAAACACCACTCTGTTAAAATTAAAAATCCTATAGTGCAGAGTTAAACTTCCAGTTTAGACCTTCCACATGCTGAATAAATACCGATCAAGTCCTTGAATGAATGAATGAATGAATGAATGAATGAATGAAGCAACATAAAGTGTCTCTATAATGTAATTAATAGATACAACAATGAGGAAGTCTCTTCATCTGTGTATTGACATCTGCTTTGTCCATGAAAATTCAGACACACACATTCATTCATCCAGCTCTCCACGGTACTCAACCCAGTGTAGAGGAAAGAGTGCTGCGACCTCCACCAGGAACATCAGAATGGACGTCAGCTACAACCACCAAGGAAAGAAAAAAGAAAAGTGTATTTTAACACATGCTAGCTGTTGGAAGCTTTTGTTTAGGGCTTAATATCAAATGTTTTAAATGAATTCATCATTCATCTTGAGACACTTACAGTTTGGTTGTTTTTTTGCGTTTAATGCGAGACAGAATCAGCCCTGAGGGGAGGAAGAAAATACTGTTATGACACATTTACACAACAATTAGGAACAATCTACCTGTTCTCTCAATGTGAAGTACAGCAAAGCTACCCTACTATAGGGGAAATCTCCAGTTTGGTTAACTAAAGCTCCTTAGAAAACATATTTTAAACTACTTTAGGAAAAAAAAAAAGGGATCAAATTAACTATATTTGATTGAATGTACATGATATAAAATTATATATATGGAAAAAAAAAAGCCACTCAGTTGAGTTTATTGCATAAGGTGCCCCGTTGTAACAGTAATACATAAACCAAAAACACAGAACAACCCTATTAATGGGAAATAAAAAAGGTTTTGTCGGTGGAGTTTATCAGTGTCATGTTTGTGCTGAAGTATGGCCATGGGGATTCTTCCTCAGGCTGAGATTTGGGAGGTTTATCCACGATGTCACTGTGTGAGCACATTCATTACACAATGTTCAAGTGCTGCCTGATGATTTATTGCCTGGGCGAGCCTTCACAGCCGGAAAGTCAGAGTCGGGGGCGCTGAGAGGAAGTTGGTCTGTATAATAACATCGTTTTTGTTGTAGTTTTTGCATTAATTTGAATGGGCCGGATAATTTATAGTCATTAATAACATGAAGACAAATCTGTTTTACAGCTGTTAATGAGCATTATATTGTATTCAACATATTTGTAAGGCCTAAATGTTTCACATGATGTATTTTAATGACAGGGAAACATCCACAAGGTGCCTTAATTAACAGTTAACTTTGAAAGAAAAATATTTGTTACCCATTGTTCGAAAGAAAGAGACTATAGATTCTTTAAAAGCTGATTCTAAATAAACCAAAAAAAAAGAAAGTTAGCGGACTTACAGCTGACATTGCAACACTTGGGAGAAGTAGAGCCTAACAGCCTCTGGACTGCCTACGGGAGGAAACAGGAGGTTAAATCAGCATCGTAACGTTCAGGTCACACTGAAGAATCACCGCAGAGTAGGTGCACCATCACCGCCACATCAGGAGAGCTCACAGAAAACAAGATCAGACCCAGATACTAAAGGAAAATAGAAACTCTAATGTGAACTTTTCTAGCTCAAACTTTTCTTCTTTTGTTGCAGCAAGTTATAAATTAAATATGACTCACTGGTTCTCCATTAAAGAAGACTGAGGGGGTACAGGGGTGCGAAGAAAGGGTAGCAAATTATCCCCATCTGACAGAGACACAGAAACAAAGACACACTGTGTGTTGTGGCTGTGTCGTACATCAAAGCAGATAGTTTCTGTACACAAGAGTTTCATCTTCATTCACAGATACAGTGAAGAGTTTTTCACCATAAGCATGCACAAGGACGTACATGGACATCACAAGTGAAGTGACAGAGTTGACCGAGTAAGGATTCAAATTGTGTGCATTGACAATATAACACCAGATCCATTACATTTGGGTTTAATTCACACTGTCAGTAGTTTAATTACATTAAACAATGATCTCTGGTAGATGTGAGGATTACTATTATTATTAAATGTCAAGTGGAATAGATGTCATTTTTATAACTTGAATTTAATGTGAATGACATTTCTAAGACAGACTCTTTAATTACAATAACTGAGATAAACGTAGAGCTGAAACAATTAATTTATCAGTTGATAGAAAGAAAATTAATGAACTATTTATATAACTGATTAATAGTTAAAGTAATTTCCACTGGCTACAGCTCCTGTTCCTGTTGCAAATCGGTATCTGCAGATACGATTATATTTACCTAAATGTTGATAAGTTGGTAGTTACTTGATCCAAAAAATTATATAACTGAAGAAAAGACTAACTGAATGTGACTCAGGTAGAGAGAGGACGCACCACTGTTGGATTTGTTTGTTCAGACACGAGCTACAGAGAGTTCTTCTTCTGACAGAGAAACAGAAACTTTACCAGTTCTTGTTTAACCACAGGAACTGGGTTGGCAAGTCGGTGCAGTTAAGCAAATAACTTAATTCATTGAAACAGGAAATTAAGCTGAAATAATGCTCTTAGTGTTTTTTCCTGTTGCTGGACTCCATGGTGAGAAACAATGAATCCAAAACACCTTAAATAAATCAGTGGTGGAAAGTAACTAAGTATATATTAAAGTTCTTTACCTAAGTACAGTTTATAATAAAATATTGTACTTTTGACTCCACACTTAATTTATTTGACAGGTTTAGTTAGATAAAAACACATGATAAGCTTAAAAAACGACATATTGTTGCTTTATTTGCGACTTTATCAGAATTTAGTTTCTATTAATTATCTCACAACTCCACAGATTTATATTGTGATTGTTTGGCGGGGACCCGACCCCTGGGGTGGGAACCACTGGACCAAACTATCCAACTCAATATAAAGTAGCTAAAACTAGCTGCAACTCGACCAGCTACGTTAAAATGCTGCTCATACATTGATGCATCAGTATTATCAATATGATTATATAACTATATACCTCTGTACATAAGTAGGATTATGAATGCAGTACCTTTACTTATAACAGTATTTTACACTGTTGTATTGGTACTTTTACTTCTGTAAAAGATCTGAATACTTTGTCCACCACTGTGAATAATTTAGAGCATTTCTGAGTGTTGTCCTACTGATAACAGCTCATTTTAAGGATGATGAAGAGACGATGCCCACACACCTGTTGTGTTTTCCAACTCCTGTGTGACCTCCTGTAGGAAGGAGCTGAAGCGTTCTGCACTGGAGGACAAACTGTCCCACAGCCACTCGAGAGCCCACACATTCTCCTGAGAGACACAGAAATGTTATTGAATAAAATCTTTAAGTCCTCATTTCAGCCTTGTGGCTCCTCCACACATATTCATAAAATGAATAATGAGCCACTCTTCTTCTCCCATGAGAGGTCATTCATGTTATTTCAGCCATAGAAGTATACAAGGTGTTATGGAAACATGGAAACTGTGGACTAAATGTCTAAAAACAGGATGTGAGTGAAGAACAGGCCATTACCTTAAACGTACTGAGCACAGGGAGGGCTGGACTCAGAGCAGAATTTATGATTCTTAAACCTAAAGCCCCTGTTACCAACAGCAACAAGGCCTGATCTGGGTACACCTGTAAACACAAACACACATATATTAAACACAGGATGACCTTACCCGCTTGTAACAGCCCTGGGTTTGAGTGTACATGTGTAGATCATAACATACGTACCTCTTGAAAGAATCGAGGGATATGCATGTTCGTCCAGTGGTCCTTGGGCAGTATCGAATTTACAGCATCCTTTGCTTCCTGAAGAAAATACAGAATTAAAATAACTCCCAAGAAAAACAGATGGAAGATTATATATGCAGTGTATATACAAAAGAGCTTTTAATAGAGAGTTAATACATACGTGTAGAAACTGTGGGCTCGGTGCTGGTATAGCGGTGAGTAAACCACGAGGTGCGTTGACGACTGCGAGTAAAGTGGTCCAACACTGAGACTGGAGCAGAAAGGTATCAGACGTACAATCACACACTAAACAAGGCAAATTTGTATTTACAGAGCACAGTTCATACACATAGTGGGGGGGGGAATCAATTCACAATCACTTTGTCACAAAATGCACACAGGTAAAATGTGTGACCAGCCAAACACAATTCAAACATCTCACAACACATTCACCGTTGTTAAACAGCATGTTTAACATCAATTCTAGTGTTTCCTGTTAGTCAGTGCGGTGATGTAAAGTTTAACAAATTGTTTCTGCCCCACAATCCTCTGAGGAAGACAAGACAGAAAACTATTACAGTAGTCTGTTTTTAAGGGCCTGTACAAGTCTGATAAGTTTTTTTTTAAATAGCTGCAAGCTCCAACATTTTGGGACCATGTTAGAAATAAACCTTTTCACTTTCTATTTTTTTTTGTCCTTTCTTTCCTGTGTCTGATAATCCACAAATAAAATCAATCAAAGTGTGTTTTTAAGGCTACAAAAAGTCTGTACAAGTCTGATTTTAATAATGACGTTCTTTACAGTTCGATTTGTTGTGAAACTGAACATCGATGAGTGTTGTAGACTTACATCAGTAAAGACAGCAGAGCAGCACTTCTGAACCCTGAGAGCAAACTTCACCTGCACATCACGCGGTAGCGGCACAGCACCTACAGAGAGCAGAGAGTTTGACTCTTTATATTAAAATCTGTATTTTTAAAAAAGGTGTTATAAGTGAAAACCTATAATCCATCTATGTCTGACCTTTAATTGGCTCCCACGCTGCTTTCGAATAGCAGAGCTGTGCTGGCTGACTAACCACCAGCTTTGGCGCTGTTGCTGTTTCAAAGATGGAGAGATAAAAATGGAAGAGAGGTGGAGTGAAGCGGGAGGCGGGCGCGTTCACTGAGGTGAACAAACTGTGCAGAGCTGTCGTAAAGTCTCCCTCCATGCACATGAAGAAAGGGATGAGGTCTCGTACTTGCTGGAGGCTACCGGAGAAACAAGACAAATGCAGCCAGTCAACAACTTCATGTCACCAACCAGGACTAAATAATAGATACATGTATGCATTCATTATTTATTTTGAAATGTTTTAGCTGTAATAATTACTTTCTTTTAAATCAGGGGTATGTAAATATCAGTCATTTTAAAATGTGCTTTAGCAGCTCCCCTCTACAAAAACCGAGCTGGTCACAGGAAGCAATTTTAAATGATGGAAACTGAAACAGAGGAACATTTAGATTTTTTCTTCCTCTTTTCAGGCAAAGATTTCAAATATTTTTTTAAACTGCCCAGGGAACGTATCTGATTGATTCAAATTAGGGGCAATCGATTTGGTTATACATGTTTTAAGGCCGTTGATCCCGGTATTAAATATGAACTTTGATCAAGCTGAATGGTAAATACTTAATGAAAGTTACTTTGGGAAAACATCTGGCTACTTCATTTTCAAACCACACAGCCGATAGTTGAGAGACGTTAAAGCAGAAATAGAATAAGGGGGTTTCACATTCACTGTAAATGAACTGTAATAGAGTCTATATCACATAATCTAGCTTTAGTAACATTATTGATCATGAATAATTACAGTACTTACAATCTGTGTTCAAAATTCACTTTCTGGCTCTTCCGCAAATTAGATATTTATTTAACCGGCCATAAACTGCGTCATGGTTTTGAGCTTCATATTTTAGTCAAGATCTCGGGTCTAATGCATCGTCCAGACGCCACCTCCTCACTGAGCTCCGTGGCCTTTCTCTACATCTCCATGTTTTCTTTTTTGGTGGTTTAACCCCGTCAATGTGTCCAATAACATCTCTAATAACTTGTGAGGCAGATGTTTCTTACAGGGAAAACTGTAAGAAAGGGAAGCTCAGTTCAGTCTGTTAAATATTTGTGGTTATTTGAACACTCACAGGTTGGGATCATCAGTCTGGACGACTCGCAGGTAACGACACAATTCTCTGTACCTGCAAACAGTGATAACACAGCCAGGTGTGGT